TATCCTCTTGATACCACTAAAAATTTCTGATTTGCCTTTGTCTTCACTACCACTCGCTTGGCCTTTTAACTGGTCACAATTGAAGTAGGGTTCGCCATATTTTGAATCCACTTGGCCTCTTCCTTATTATGAACTTCTTATCAATGGTTGTATTCAAGGTTGCAGTCATGCACATGCGAGTATTCAGATGCTTCAGAAGCAGTTTGCAAATCCTGGTCCTCGGTCTGTATACAGACGTATACATACGTATGTTTGCATCAGCGCCTTTCTCATCCCTACTGTCGTCCTCACACTTGTCCCTATTGTTGCCTCCAGCACCATTGCCAGTGGTAAAAACTCGACCATTTTACACGGTGTACAATTGGACAAAATCGTCTTAATATCGTATTCAAATCGGGTGCTTCAGAGCACGATTTTACACGATTGCTATAATCGTGTAGTTTTCAACCCTGTGTAGTACACGAAAGTGGTCCACCTTACCACCGTGGACAACACGACAAAGCACACGGTTTTACACAATCTCAACAGTGTACCAGCGGCAAATGTGCATTTTGTGATTCGTACACGATGGGCAAACGATGGTCACACGACTTTTACACCATTTTGACACGCGCCACACGGTACAGGAATTTCTGGACCATGTACTTTGGCCGATTTTTTTACCAGTGTGCTACGATTGTTGTTGCTACGATCATCAAGGCTGCCATTACTGGATGCCTCATCAAAGTGCTCTTCATCTGTCTCCATATTGTTACATGAGTGTTGTTGATCTGACACATGCATTGCACTTCTGGGGTTTGCTACCTTAGCAGAATTGCTGTTGTGCAGTGCTTGTGCATCGTTGGTAACCAAGTCCTGCCATACCAGTTGGGCAAGGCCTACCTTGTGTCCGGGAGCATGTAGTTGATCCCGCTCCTGCTGCTTCAGCCACCGCCACTGCTTGCATTCCCCTGTGTGGGTGTTGTAGCCATTCTTGCTCTTGCCAAGATACAGGCCACATCCTGGACACTTTGCCTTCCCTGCAGTGCTGTTGAAATTGCTTCTGAACCAAGCTTGTGGGGACGTCTACCTCTCCCCATTCTTCAAATGCCTGTGGAGAGCTGAATTATAAGCAAGAATTGGTGCACAACTGTGCAGAAAATTGAACTTCTGTGGATGTCAAAGTCTGCAATCATTATGGAGGTCTGCAGCCAACAGGCTAATCCGTATACGTTGCACATGGTTTTGAACATGCTGCACACATTTGAGAATATGCTATTATTTGTGAATGTGTTGTGTTTTTGCAGATATAGAATATATTGGCAAATATGGTATGTATTAGACACCAGGGGTCGCAGTGGTTGTGCTGTAATAGCAACTAACAATCTCTTTTTTGGTTGCCATCTCTCTAACTCCGAAATGCAAGCCTGCACTGCCACTGTAGTTTGTAGGGACTCGTGGCTATAGTAGTAGCCTATTGCAGTGTGAGTGGCCTGCCTGACGTTCGTTCTGCGCCTACGACTTTTCGCCACGGGTTGATACCCTTTTCGGGGTGGCGCTTTGGGACTGCACTCGGTGTGCATGCTCCCGGTGTGGTGGTGGCGCGCAGCCACCTCTTGTTCCATATTCCACTGCGGTGCGCATCCGGAGATTCTGCTGGCCATCATGGTTAGTGGAGTTCTACATCATCAAAAGAGAGGCGCTGATTACCATAGTATGTTGAATCCTTCGGCAATAAAAAGCTTTACTGCTATGCTTCTTGCTCCACATTTCCTTCAGAGCATTGTTTAATTCTATTTATGCTGCTATACAGGATTTTTGTTAACTTTCTCTGAAAAAACGACCAAGCGTTGCGAAACTATGTGGATGGATTGAATATTTCGCGGCAAGTGCACGACAGACAACACATTGCGGGCAATCTGCCGTAGCAAGGTGACAATTTGGCTACTGACATTTTGGCAACCAGATCGTACGGGTATCGCTATCATAAAAACAGCAGCGCGTACCATGTTTCACAGTACTATGATGGGAGCGGTGGTGCACCAGTTGCCTGGTCGACTGCCAAACCAACCATGAACATGTGGCGATACCACGGCAGTGCCAAGCTTGGCACACCCTTAAGGGGGTGCTCGGTGGGCTGCGGCAGCGTCAGGGTGGCCGGATGCGGTTCTAGAGACACATTCGTGGGCGGATTCCAGCCAGAAGCTTTGCTAGAGACGGCTGGCCGCCTCGCATTGCAACCATGAACCTGGCACCATGGCCATTATCGCGGCCATGGCTCAAGGTGGATGGATGCGCCCACAGAAAAGCTGCGACTAATAGTAATGTAGTTGGGAATTTGCAGGGCTTCCTGCACATGACTTTGCAGACACAGTCTTGGCAAAGATCGCGGGCGTGTGATCCTTGCTGCATGTCAAGATCTTCCACTGTGGCATTGGCGTTCGCTTCCCCAGGAGGCCCATTGCTGGAAAGCAGCAAAACGGCTTGTGGATATAGCCAAGTGTAGCTACAATTGGGCTACGGCTGGGAAGGCTCCTTTGGAGCGAAGGGCCTCAGTGCGTCCCCGTGTGAGAAAGGCATCTGTGTCCCATGTGCACAAACACTACATCCTCGAGATCTATCGGGGAATTCGATTGATTCAGCACGGTCGAACGGGTCGGCCGTCAAGGCCACGATTCCTGATAGCAGCAATGGCCGTTGCGCGGCGCCCCTCCAAGAGAAGCGCAACTCCTCCCCCTGCACGCTGCTGCCTCCTTGCTCACCCCCCATGCGGACGGCGGCCCAAGCATGAAGCCAGAGTTCACACCGCGTCGCTTTAGTCAATTTTACTGCGAATTGACGTGGCGACACTTTTCATTGGCTCTGACGGGTTCCGACTCGGTTGCCAGAATGTCAGTTGCCAAATTGTCGCCTTACCAGTCCACATGTCAGGCCTTCGGCTCGACGCTCTGTACTTGTTCGTTCCTACAGTAAAATGCTGAACCCTTCCGGCTAGCAACGTAAAGCGTGACCTTTTTATCAGAGAAAACAACATAAATATTAACGCAAATCTTGGCCTTTCTGTGTGGAGCAACGTAAAAAATATTATACATGACGCTCAGAAGACAACATGCGGGGCAAAAAGGGTAGCAGTGAAATTTAAGTTTCACTGCTACCCTTTTTGCTCCGCAAATTTTCTGATGCGAAAGGGTTGAATGTTTTACAGTTCATCCATTGAAAGTCCAGTCAGTCATTGGCCAGGTTGCGTTGTTGATGTTCTTCATTCCACGATGATTTGCTCAGCACGTTTTTGGCTGTAGTGTTCTTTGCCGCCGCTGCCACGGCCAGGGCTGCGCAGCACCGTCATGAGCGCCCTCTCTGCGACCCGGGGAAGCCCTTGAGGGGAACCCGTTTCAAAACGTACGTTTCGTTCACGAGCCATCGCCACAGCCACATTGCCTTATTCGATCAAAGAGTGCATTCGACACTCTTGAAAGGTGATTGTCCCCCATTGCACGCTGCGGAAGCCATGGCCCACCCCGCTCAAGACCGATAGCCGCTCCCATCGGCGACCCTTGAGCGCAGCCACTGGTCCACCCGGGGACACATGCCCCCTGCAGCCGACTCGGAGAGCCCCGCCACTCACGTAGCCCCCCATGTCACAAGGTTCGATTCTTACACAAGAACGCTGAATCAGAATCTAAAAAATTCATTTCAGGGGCGCTGCAAGTCACGTTGCCTGCGTATAATATAAGACCATTTCCGGCACAGAGCACTGTAATTGGGACATTTGTCTGGGAGTGCATGGATGTTGAGGACAGGCAATGGCGGAGGGCGAGGACCGCAGCGTTGAAAGCGAGGAAAAGGGAAGCCTGGTGGCCACGTGCCCCGAGCACTGGTGCCTCAAACAACTGGATGCCCTCCACAGTGGATGGCAACGAGGGATTGCGACACCAAGAGCGTCTAGGACCAGGCCAGATCACCATCGCATCTAAAATGCAATAGCAGCATTTCGCCATTTGCTTTGGCAGACCGTGGGCAAAGCAAAGGCCACAATGCGGACTGAAGCAAACGGCGCCGAGCCCCGCAACCACCCGGAGGAATCTGAGGAGCGCGATGGGTGCAGGCGAAAGACCGCAGAGCCTTTTGCAGGCTCATTCGCGTTGGGAACCGGCCACTGGAGTATTCCCCTCCTCCCTCTCTTCCCGATCGCGGACGGTGCTTTCAGAGTCCAAATAGCGACAAACGGCTACCCCATCCCGATGCTCGAGGAGCTGGATCCCCGGAAGATTCCCTCACTGTGGTTGCGGCAGGCCAGCGTTCCGTCTTTCTGGACGTCCCCCCAGCGACAAGGCAGCCAGCCTGTGCGAGCACCGGCCCTCCACCGCCCGACACTCCCCCTCCACGTCCTTCCACGCGATAATGTCCCTCTCCAGGATCGTCTGCCGCTATATATATCTGCGGCAACCTGGACTCCAACCCCTCCCCCTGGGGCTCCTCCAGCCACTTTAGCGGCATGATCGGGTACCAGTGCTTCGCCCACTCGAACGCCTCATCCCTGGTCGCCTCCTCCGTCCGCCTCGCGGAGCCGCCACGCTTGGCACCATGCCTTCCCTTGCCCGTTGTGAACGAGTCTCGCCGCCAAATCTCCTTGATTTTCTTATCCCATCCCAGCTGTGGGGTGAGTGCCGGGGTCCCAGGGGAGCCACAGGGCGCCACAGGGCGCACTGGGACGAGGGAGCGTCCAAGAGCAGTCACCACTGCGGCTGCGACACTGGTTCCCTACTTTGGAACCCACACGAGCCGAAAGTGAATAGATGTATGAGTGAGACGGTAGGGGGGGGCCGGAAGCGTCCTGCGCCGGAAGTAGCTGACCGGGCAGTACTTAGCGCTGTAGTAAGACCTGTCGTGCGTCTGGGGCGTAGGCGCTGCGCGCGGAGGGGGAGAGGTTAAGGGAAGGGTTAGGGAAGTGTGGAAGGGAAGCGAAGTGTGAAGCGAAGGGTGAAAGGTAGGGTGGAAAAGACAGCGGGGGAGCGGTAGCCATGGCGTCCCGGACGCCGAACCTTCACGGGGTTCGGCGGCCTGCGGCCCTAAACCGCCAGCCCCTTATTGTTTCTCCCGTGCCCCTTGCCTATCCCGTCCGCGTCGCCCTTGCGCCAAGGCCGCCGATCCGGATCGGGTTTGGCGCCCCGCGGAGGCGCGGCGTCGCGATCCCAGTCGCGTCGCCGTCGCGCGAGGCGGTGAAAGATCGAGGGGAGTGCACGGAGGACGGACGGGAAGGGACGTTCGTGTGGACGCGGCAGTGGTACCCGATGGCGCCGCTGAAATTGTTGGAGGACGCGCAGGGGGAGGGGTGCGAGTCTGGGCTGCCTGAGATCCAGCGGATGGCGATCTTGGGGAGGGCCATCGTGGTGTGGAAGGATGTAGAGGGGCGGTGGCGGGCCGTGGAGGATCGGTGCGCCCACCGGCTGGCGGCGCTGTCGCTGGGGAGCGTCCAGGAAGACGGCACGCTGGCATGTCGCTATCATGGTGGGTCGTGGTCTCGCAACTCGGTTTCCTTTCTCCTTTTGTATCCTTTGCCTTTTCTCTTTTCCTTTAGTCATTTCGGGGGGGGCGCTCCGTGTGTGCAGCAGTTGGAAAGCCTTGCCTGTACTTCCATAAGTATCATGGTCAACCACGCTCCATTTATCCATATTTATATGTCCCTTCTACATAACTTCCCATTTGTCCCCCTCCTTGCCACCATGTGGCATCATCTCGTTGTCTGCCCCTTTCTGCAAAAATCTCAACATAGCAGCATGGCTATTGCGCTCATGATGTAAACCTACGTGGCCACTGACGTTCAGCAACTCGGTTTGTCCTGTTGGATCTGATTGCATGGGAATGTGCCTTCCCAGGTCGCACAAATTTTCAACGCAGACCCAAACAGATAAGCAGCACTGGCAAACATTCAGAGGCTGTACTGATGTTGTGAATGGTTGGTACTCTCCTCTGCTGACGCTGTAAATTGCTGCAGTGCTGCTCTGAAAGCCCCCTTGCATATGCACTGGTCTGTACGACAACACTGAATGTTGTTGCATTGGTTCTGCATTGTGCCATCAAATTGTAGCAATTCATTGGCCTTGTGTCTGTTTGGCAAAGTTTGAGCAGCCAAGCAAATGAGAAGGGTTTGGTGTACCAGTACTTCCCCCTTTGCCAGCAGCGCAGCCAAATATCAATGATCGTATCAATCGTGTCAATTATAGTCTTGGTGCTCTCCCTAAGCTCATATTCCCAGGTCATTTTCCCAGCACTGGTGAGAGATGCACTCATGCCTGAGGTCAGAGTTGACTTGCATTGTTGTGGGAGCCCCATGCAGAGGCTGGTTGCAATGTGCAGAATTGGGAGCTGGTACAATAATCATCTTTCAACCTCAATTCAGAGCTTGAGTCACGCGCATGTGGTCCATGCTGCACATGCCCCATTTCAAGTTGCAGTGCATGTCACTGATTGGGGTCTTTTCCATGAGAAGATGCCCCATAGCAGAAACAGGGAAGGGCAGGACTGGGCTGGGTCTCTTGCCACAGAAATGGGGCAATGGCACGACTCCAGCAGCCGGTTAGCAATGGAATAGTAAGCACTTGCCAGTTTCCCAGAGAGGACCATAACGTGCCCCGTTCTTCCCATTTCTGGAAGTGTGCATCTCCCCTCACGATGCCCAACAAATATCTGAGAGTCAGTGAGCATTACTGGTCCAATCCAGGCATGCCTAGTTGCCCATCTCCCTCCAGGTTGGCGCTTCAACGGCCATGGCGAGTGCACCCACATCCCTCAGGCCACGGGCACCACTTCTGAGGCCATTGCCTGCTCGAGCAGCCGCTCAAAGGTCACTGCATTTCCCACACTTGAGGCGCATGGCTTGCTGTGGGTGTGGCCCGACGATGCCCCAACTTCCTGGGTGGATTCTGTTCCAACTGAGCCCCCCGTTGCACAAGTGGTGGGGCAAGACTCTGACTGGAGCGTTGTGGACTTTCCTGTGAGCTACGCCAGTTGGATGGAGAACACTCTTGACCCCTGTCACACAGACTACATTCACCATGGGCAAAACTCTTTTGGAGCTGCCTTCGGGCCCAGCAACGCAATCACAATCACCAACTTCGAACAGGCAGCAGCCACCAAAGCTCGTGCCGGCTTCACGCTGAGCCACAATCCGATCACCTCCATCACGCAAGGCCGCAATGTGACCCTGGAATTCAAGCCGCCCACTCTGGTGACGGCAACCTCGGTGTTGAAGGGAGTGCTCACAATCCACGTTGCACAATATCTGGTACCCATGCGCCCTGGCTACTCAAGGAATGTTTTCGCCACAAGTGTAGAAATGGACAAAGGAGATGCCCTCCAGGTGCTTCCAGTGGTTTTCGCCCTGGGGGCACCTGTCTTTGCTGCTCTCCTAAGGAAGCTGCCACCCAAGTTGTTTCCTGGTTTTCTTGGGACAATGGTGCAACTCCTTGACGGGACACACAGCGTCTCCACGACCTTTGCAAGCCAAGACCTTGTGGTGCTCAACTCCCAGGATGCTGAATTCACCAGGTGTGACATGTCCACTCTCAACTGCGCATGTAGTTGTGATGACCCTGTTTGCCTCCAGGCGTGGTTGCAAAACTGTTCAGGAACCTTGGTGTGATGGTACCCAGGCACCAAGGCACTATAGTGGAGGCACCTGTACCCACCTGCTGGGGCACATCAAGCCACTCACCCACCATCCACAAGACCCTGTACCTGGGTGGCAGGGTAGGTGGTTGGATGACATGGATAATGTCAATAGCTGGGTTGGTTAAATGCCCAGGTAGACTGACTGACGGTCCAACTGCTGACTAGGACACAGACCAGGCAGCGATCAGCACTGCCATGTGACTGGCCGACTTCTCATGAAAAGTGCTTCCACATCCTTTAGTCAGCTCCCAGCCTCTCGGATGCATGGCCGTTGTTGTGAGTCGCACGGATCAACGAGCAGCACGACAGCAGTTCCGGCAATACGTGATTAGCCAGATATTCCTGCTTACCTGGGTGATCGGTAGTATCGCGTTGCCTGGATAGCCTGGTTGTCCTGCTTGCTGGAGAAACCGGGTAGCTGGGTACGTGCAGGCTTGTCATATATGAGTACAGCTAGAAATACGGATACAGGTAAATGCGCATCCTTTTCGTATTCACCGAAAATACGGCTCAGATACTGCAGTTTACATCAGTAAACATCATCAATCGCATGAAAATGCAATTATACTAAACGTAAACAGACGAAACAGGTGATCATCCTCATCTGAATCTAAACTAGTCAACCTAGTATGAGGAAATTATAGCGTGCAGTTATCCAATGTAGATAAACTGGACAAATGGATCCAACACACGCTCAGAGTCGCCTCTGTGCTTCAATTGGAACTATTTAACTATAGAGCTAAGTTGTTAAATCAGTTCAGCACTTAACTTGTAAATGACCATTGAATTTATCCTGGAGCCGGGCACCATTGCGAATGTGATTAAACATTGTACCTCCCACCCATCCCCTCCTTTGCCTTTCTACCTAGCGCAGCCAACACTTATTAGGAATGCATTCAGAATCGGTGACCTGCAAGGCGCAGGGCGTTCAGCACTGCAATTTAAAAATTTGGTAGTACACCCCTGACTAGTGGAAAAAAGGGCTAAGCAGCATCCTTATATCCCGTTATAGGCTTGAAAGGATTGGCTTCCCATACCCCGCTTGCCACAGCATTAACAAACCTTGGTTTGGCACAAAATATTTCCACCCTGCCGGCAAAGATTTTGGTCCCTCTGTTCGCATCTACTACTGATTGCTTGCAAATTGCTTGTCCGCCACAGTACTGGCAGGGACTGGAGGCGCCGCTTCTACCTTCCCACGCGGTCGGATGCTGGAGTGGTTGCATTCCACAGGTGGATGGAGGAATTCGCCGGTGGGGGACCGCCTTGGTTTGGTGGGGTGGAGGAAAGGAAGGTTTTGCAGCGACTGCGCTACCACGATCTGTTTGACAGGTGGAAGCTACACAGCAGCTGGTGTCCCACCTGCCGAAAGGCTCTCAAATATCTTGGGGCCATTGACACCCTGCTGGCTGGGGTGGCGGCTGGCCTCCTGAGTGCGGCAGTGGTGCTAGTTGCCAGGCACGTTATCTGTGACCTGTCTTTCAAAGCACTTGTTCATTTGCGCTATTCTGCTGCTGTAGCTCTATCACCATTTGGGTAGTGCGCCAATGGGCGGGATGCAAAGATGCAAACTGCGAAGAACAATCAAGCCGTGTTTGGATGAGAAATTTGTGCCATTGCCTTTAAGATGCAATGTCACGAATCGGTCTGCTCGTGCGAAAGCGTTTGCAATTCATGGAAATTCAAAGCTTCTGTTATTGCTTGGTTTGATAGATCGGTGTGAATGCCATTGGCATTTCAAACTCCGGTGTAAGTTGATAGATACGGGCTGCTCTGTGTTTCCATGGTGCATTACTTGTGCTCAGTATTCGATGACAAATTCGCCATGCAAAACAATAAGTATTGCAAGGTGCTGTGTCCTTTGTATTTTCTTGAACCAGCTGTGAATAGCAGGAATCTAACCGACCCCATAGCGCACATGATGTTGATGGCATGCTTGCTTGCTGACACCATTGTGAAGTGCAACAATTGCGCACGTTTTCCAAGAACTGTGAATGGGACCATGCAAATCCCGAAGCGATGCCCCAGAGGCGCAAATCTTGAGATCGGTCATGTAGAGCGTCCTTGCTTGAAAGGTTCTGCTATTCAACACGCCACTGAATATATATGTTTGTCTCCGTTTCCATTCTGCTACCACACTTTTCTTTGATGGCACTGTAGAGAATGCACAAACTGTTCCGATGCAGCAAGATACATTCGACAACGATGGCCATTTGTTAACACTATTTGTTGCCATTAATGACAGCTAATCTCAGACGTGGGAAAACGTTAGAAGCAATTTGTTAGATTCTGACTTGAGCAGGCGGTACACCCCAAGAACTTCATAGCAGCTGCGCATTCGAGTAAAGTTAAGGATGTTGCAATTTTGTGTGTCGAAGTGCTTCCCCCGAAGCAGTTGAGTACACACTTGCAGCGTAGAGCGACGGTTGGCAGAAACCACTGGATCTTGATCACCATGTCGCTCCAGAGGCGTTCACACAGCTGCGTTTCTATGTGCGACGCATTGGCAGGGAATTATGCGCTTGGACTGTGCATGAACTTCAGATTCCCATTCGCATCACGTCGTATGAACTATTCTCATTTTGCCCGTTGCTTCTGGGGCCATCACTCATTGCCTGATTTCGCTGCTTAGTCTTGTGCAGCATCACATTGTGGATCCGTTTACATCTTGTGCCGTGCATACTGGATGAGCAACCTTCTCTTGGGGCGCATGTTTCACTTGTTTATCTCTATGCGTGTGCCCGCCTTGCTCAACCAATCCGCCTGCTCACAGTGCAAGTCGTTCCATCAAGCAGAGTTGCGCACAAAGCTTCAAAGGGCAGCAGATCACTGAAAGCGATCAAAGTTTTGTGTTCTGCAGGGCGACAGCTCCGCAGCTGGCGACAGTAGCTGTTGTGTTGTCCATTGCAGCGCTGCTGGCACGTTTTGAGGTTCATAAACTCCGTGATAGATTCCTGACAGAACTCCCACCAGTCGGCCTTCCGGAATTCTCTCTGAGGTGGCCTTCATGATCGACAACGCATATAAGTGCCAGCAAGCAGGTTTGTTGCGCTTGGTGTCGATTGGATGTTACGTTGGTGGCAAATGTGAATCGTTTGATAGATTGTCACAGGATGTGGTCATTGATGTCCTCCCGCAGCAATCGAGGCAGCGTGGAATGGCCCCTTACTGCTTGTCTGTGTGTTGCATCCTTGCTTTCACTGGTCATCTGGATATTTGGAAAAATGAAGTAAGTTCCGATTCCTTCATTTGAAATACGATGAAGCAACTGGGTTGAGAGATCGCATTTGTTGTCTGATCTGTTTGTTGTGGACTTGGTCGTGCGTGTGAGGTTGTCTGGAAGACGGGCGTTGCTGGTCCGTTGACTCCATGAGTCTCTACTTTTTACGTAGGTGTTTATCACTGGCTGGTGCCCTTCGTCTTGGCCTTTTTGGATACCCTCTGCTCATGGATCTCAGTGCCGCACAGCTCCTCGGTGATGGATTGTTGCACTTGCCAGCTCAGGACTGTCGGGTGTCGAAATGGGCGGTGTCGCACCATCCTCAAATGGTCCCGGTGGGACAAAAGCGAGAATGATGTTCGAAGATGAACGCAGACGGAAGACATTTGGATGGGCATTGTCGCATCAACAACGAATGATGACCTTTTAATGCATTTGCAGTTGTAGCACTCCGAGCGCTCAACCACAATACCAGTGTAAGCGGTTTCCCAGTACTCCCGTGCAGTTGGCTGTGTCTGAGATCTAGGAAAGACAGCAGTACACTTTCCACCATACGCGCAGTCGTACAGTTGGTGGTAAGTGAAGCCCCACAAGAAGACCTGCCGCCCTCGGTTATGTAGATAACAACACCTTCTGAAATTAGGTGTTATGGCCTTTCTACGTACCGGAATTGGTCATATATACGCAATGGATTACGCCGAACCTGGTCTGACCAGTCCACCGTTACATAACCGCCACTTCAGTATAGTTTGTGACCCACCCTTGCATATACCATGCAAGCTTACACATTCCAAGACATTATACTTTAGTCACTAGTCAGTAGCTAAGATGGATCAGTAACTACTCATACATTCCAAACCCGTGATCAGTTTCCATCCTCAGACCGCCACACCATGTTTACCACTTAGTATCCTTTCATGCAAGTGTCTATCAAGGGTAAACATACACTCCAAAACCAGACCAGCCCTGGGTCCCTGCGTAACTCACGCTAGGTACATCAGCATTCCGGGCCGCAGTCGGTCAGAGGTCAGGGCTGACCCTGGCCTCCGTCGAAACACACGCTCGTGACCCGTTGTACATACCTACCTTCACAACGTAGAAACCGGTGATCGACAAGCCCCTGACAGTCGAAACGACAGCGTCCCGTCTACCCCAGCCAGCCTGGATGCTCCGAGCATGCTGCACCAACCCCCAGTCTCCCCATAGAACTTTTGAAAGCTCGTAGGTGGTACACATGAAAAATTGCAAAGTAGTTATAGCCTTGTTGAGATCTAATTGACAAAGAGACACCGCCCTCATGGTCACCGCCAACTAAATACCTTTGCAATATACCATGTCCCTTTCTCTCTTCACCTTCTCGAACTCACCCATGCCCGCACCGAAACTCACCACACCTCACAGCCTTCCTGGTCCTGTATGTTCCCTTAGAGGCCTCACTGCAAAATGCTACTGAGAACTCCCATCAATACACATGCTATTCTCTATCCTCCTAAGCTTGACCTCGCTGCTCCGCTAGTCTGCACTGAGAGCCTCTAGCTGCGAAGTCCCCACAACAACCTCTTGTTGAAATGGTTATAAGCCTGCCTGTTGCACTCGATCGACACACTCGTTGTCCCACTCCCAGAACGCTTCTCTGTAACTCCTTCCTATGCCCTCTATAAACTACGCAGTGCATCCTAGTATGCTACTTCAAAGTGCACGCCCCACTGTATCCCCGGTTGATCCTTAGTCTGCCGTGCGACCAAGAAGCACACTAGCACTGCCCCCTATCCCGAGAGCCCGGCCATGATCCCAGTTTGTAGGTCATAAAGAATGACACTGGTGACCAGACCCATAGGCACCTAACTTAAGCGGCATTCTGCGGCTCTCTCCTGCCAGCCGCGGATATCCTCGTGGAGTCTGATACGTAAAGTCTGTGGGTGTGGGGTCCCTGCCCTCTTTGAGCCGCGGACCCACCTCGCCGGGCACCTAGGTCCTTACAGGGACCTAGGCGGGACCACCCCTCCTACTCCCGTATCCTAATACCTAAAGCGGTTACCCTGGGATGAGGATAGCTATCTTGGGCAGGGCGTCCCCCACACCAAGGGCCAGTAGTAGGGCGTCCCCCACATCAGGCTGGTGCGCGTAACATTCGTCCCCCTCAGGGAGAGGGGCGTCCTCGTCCCAATGCGTGGATACGGGAGCAGAAATATTATGTATGTATACGGCAACTGACTGTGCGATTTGCCACATGCCCAGTTTGCACAATAGTCATACATACATTATACATACTGTGGTGAAGAGAAAGAGTGGTTGTTTTACATGACCTACCGGCCTTTGACAACCTTCATTAAAAACTCTTCATTCAGCACTTCGGCTGCAAGGTTCTGACCTTCCGGCCTATGTCCGTTAAGGGAAAATATGTGGAACATACAGGTCACCCTGCACGTCCCCTACCCCGATACGTGCGGCCACCCGCTGCCCAACCATGACCACCCCGTGAATATGGACCTCGTCCTTGCTCCCGGGCACGGACTGGCTCTTGCGGAGGTTGAATCAATGGCTGCTCTGTGGCCAGTCGTTCCCCGTTCAAGATAGCTGCGGACATTGCGTTCATATGTCCGAACAGCATACGGGTACGGGGCCCGGTATACCCAGTCTGCTTCTGGGCCCACTTCAGTAGGACCTGTCAAATGCAGAACCACACATGAGCTTATGCCAATGTGTACATTTCGTACTATGATCAGTTGATACATGCACGACAGGAGCTCTTCCATTTTCAAATGCTTGAACCAGTTCCTGTGCATTTGCAATTGCTTTTGCTGATTCCCAACTATTATGCTCATGTCCATATCCCAGCCATTTGACAAGGTACTCTACCGAGTTTTGGCGCCTTCCGCGGTTTTTAATTCTTTTGTCTAAAATGCGTTCAACTTCATATTCCAGTTCTCCTTCGATTTCGATAGGAACTGGAGGTGGCTGTACTCTGCCACTGGCCTTATACGGCTTAATCTTTGACACATGAAATACCGGATGTATCTTATGCATGCTTTCCGGAAGTTCCAGTCGATATGCGACAGGACCTATCCGGTCGAGGATGGTGAAGGGCCCAATCCACCTCGGTAATAGTTTTCGAGTTCCAGGGTGTTTGAGGGTGATGTGTTGTATCAAAAGGAGGACGTCATCTCCTTTATTAAATGACACATCCCTCCGATGGCGGTCCGCATGCTTTGACTGCCTATCCCGTGCTTATTCTAAGCATGCCCTAGCCTCTTTCAGCGCTGATTGGACACGGTGATCAAATCGTGTCACAGCTGGTAGTCCCTCCACGAGGGGTATACCAATATGCCTTAAGTAAGGCTGTTGTGCCCTATCAATGGCCACTGCCAAGCCACGGGTATTCGGATTGTCATAGCCCTTCAAAGGCTTCCGAATCTGCACCCCAAGAGCTAAGGGACTCTTTGGGTGTCGACCGTAGTTCAAGTAGAACGGGGTCTCTTGGGTGGAACTGTTTTTTGAGTTGTTCATTGCAAACTCGGCCATGGCTAATAGTTCATCCCACGCGTCATGGTCAGAATGCGTATAGCTGCATAAGTAATCCTCCAGAATCCGATTCATGACTTCGGTCTGGCCATCCGTTTGCGGATGGTATGCAGTGCTCATGTTGAGCTGAATCTTCCGCCTCTCGGCCAGGTACCGGTAAAACCTGGAAGTAAACCGAACGTCTCTGTCGGACACTATTTGAGAGGGGAGACCGTGGTGCCTTATCACATTCTGCACCAACAGGTCGGCCACTCCTTCTGCGGAGAGCTCAGTGGTCGTGGCTGCGAAGCGGACCATTTTCGTCAGTCTATTGATGAACACGATGATAGCATCTTGACCTCCCTTAGTTTTTGGCAGTTGTGTAATGAAGTCCATGGACAGTTCAGTCCAAGGCTCCTCAGGAATACCCAGAGACTGTAATAAGCCTGGGGTCTTTTGACGAGAGTACTTAGCCTGTTGACAAACCATGCAAGTATCAACATATAATTGTATTTCTCGTCGCATTCCTGGCCACCAGTAATACCTCTGGACCAAGTCCAGGGTCTTGGCTTGACTAAAGTGTCCTGCACTTGGATGGTCGTGAGCCAACTGGTAGATCTCAGTCCGCAGACTGGTGTTACGAATAGGATGTGGGTGTGGGGTTCCTGCCCTCTTTGAGCCGCGGACCCGCCTCGCCGGGCACCTAGGTCCTTACAGGGCACCTAGGCGGGACCACCCCTCCTACTCCCGTATCCTAATATGGATAAAGGTTACATTGGGTGAGGAATAGTACGTGCCTTGGTCAGGGCGTCCCCCACACCAAGGGCCATTAGTAGGACGTCTCCCACATCAGGCTGGTGCGCGTAACATTCGTCACCCTCAGGGAGAGGGGCGTCCTCGTCCCAGTATAAGTGAATACGGGAGCAGAAACATTGTATGTATGTTGGTGGAACTGGCTGTGCGATTTGCCACATGCCCAGTTAACAAAACACAACACACAAAACAATTTTGGATGAAGAGAAAGAGTGGTTGTTTTACATGACCGTCCCGGCCTTCACAACCCTCATTAAAACTCTTCCTCAGCCAAGTGGCTGGAAATGTTTGACCTCCCGGCCTTTCATTGGCGACCACGATGCCGAGTACCACCAGCAGCCCACACCGGTACAGATCGGCCCGGTGCGGCACCCCGCCGTCGCCCACGTCCGCGTGCACGCTCAGGCGCACGGGGAAATGGCACGTAGGGGTCGGCGGTCTCCAACCTCTCCCCGTTGAGGATCGCAACGGACATGG